CGTGGCACTGCAGATGGCCATGTGCGGAGGTAGCAACAGCCACGACGCTGTGGAGGGGGAGCGGGGGCAAATAGCAGCCTGCCCGCTGCTGCCGTGTCGCTCACTGCTCGCTGCTCGCTGCTCGCCAACCGGGGGGGTAAATAGCTGGCGTGACACTTTTCAACACCAACGTGCCACACTACCAACTCATAATGAGAGTTTGGCCAATGCGTTATAACGCTGGCTACGCACACGTATGGCCAGCAACTGCCCAAGTGCAAACCTTGACAGTGGCACTACCGGATTTTGAATGATATATATCCGGGAGTGGGGTGGGGCGGCGGGGTGTGGGTGCGTTGTCGAGCTCATTGATCGTAGGGGAACCCTCTCGGCCGCGTCACGCAAGATTTTGGCAGTTTAAGACGCAAGGCATTTTGGAGCTCCACCCTAGTGGGCCAGCAATACTTCTCTCGAGTTCCTACGACAAGATAGGTTCGCGAGGTTTAACTTACCTCCACCGTCGGAAGTTGTCACCATCCCTTACATGCGCGTATCTCTGACGAGCTATTGAACCACATGAGAAAGCTTTTACATGCAATCACAGAGGTGGGGCAGCCGATGACGTTTTTCGTTCACTGTAGCATAGGGGGTACACGCGGTTAACGCCCAAATTAAACCCGTGCGCGAATTGACGCGTGAGGCGTTGATCTCCCGAGTGCGACTCTACATCAGTTGACTAGGACGACTAGCATAACCATGGGGTACTCTTTCTGAAAAATCTTGCTTTTGAGTGTAACTCGCGCCTAGTTCCTATTTTCATTCGTCCTGTAACTATGGCAATGTTGAACAGCCAAGCGTCACTTGTGAGGCTTGGCATAAATAGCGCAGCAACGTTGGCGTCGTCATAACAAGTAGTCATGTGTAAAAACATGAACGCTCATCATGACAACGTATTATGTGGTGTCGAATACCTCACGGTCCTTGATGGTTTTGAGGGTCTCATTCGACACATACGTGTTGGCTGACATGTGTTTTGATGGATTATTCCTCTGATGCTGGACAATCGTGGATGTGGTTGCGCATCCCACCCTCTTCTGCATCCTGCATAGAAGAGTGGTAGAGGTTGCTTTACTAGCAAGAAGTCGTGCGTTGCAATTTGCGACATTCCGACCTTCTTGTCTAGAACATCCACATCCCATCAAACAATTTTCAACACGGAAAATAAGTTGTCGTGCACGCATACACGTGCGGGTCGTCGTGGGTATTGGGCAAACATTTAACTCGCGTGTGTACTTGGGTAAAGTAGCCGTGCGCTCGGACCCCAAACGTACGCCATGCGTGAGCAATGAACTACGACCCACGCAAACAAAGTGGGTGAATCCTTGATATAGAGAGGGGTGTGGTATCAGGTGGTCACTCTCACAGTCATTGGTGTGGCTTGTCCATCAGAATCCCCATAAACGGAAACAAATATCTCGACTCAAATCCAACACTTCCACGAATGCCAAGCCATGCCTGCATCCACATAATTTCAACAATCACACACCACACACTGACGGGGTCAACCTCGCACCTCACGCCCTGCCTCAAAGCACTCACACCTTAATTATTTTTCCACCTCACATAGGGGATCAATCAGACCTCAATCCCTCGAGGTTTGGGGTGCAAAAAGCAAATGAAGTTGTGTCGCAAACCGACCTGTTATTAAAAGATAACAAAAGATGATGATCGACGATGGATCAACATGAAGCTAGTTGACTTCCTGAGTCGCACGATGACATGCATCACTGCGCATGCCAAAAGAGCAATCGTTGTTCTCAATGCGAACGAAGAACACACTCTCTCTCTATCACACACTAGTCCTCTAACTCTCTTTCTGTCTCCCTCTGGTTGGCACTAGTGAGTGGTGAAGATTTTGACAGCACTTCCCTTAGCTAGGGTGGACTGTCAAAGTTTTCTCCAACCCAATTTTTAACTAGTTTTTTACATTCCTCAAACCTTTGGCAGCACTTCCCTTAGGGAAGTGTGGACTCCATATATTTATATGAACTAGATCATAATATTCCTTGACTTTCGCGAAGGCACTTTTGTCTAACTTCGTGAACTAGTAAAAATTTGTGTAGCACTTCCTCTAGGAAAGTGAATTCTCAGGATTTGTACTAAGCCAGATGTGAAGTCGTAACAAAATTTGACTTTTGCAGAAGACAAGATTTGATGAACTTTTTGAATAAGTCAAAATTTCAGCCGCACTTCCTCTAGGAAAGTGAGCTCCCATAATTTTTGCTAAATCAAAACTTCAAATCACATTGCATTTTATCCAACTCTCTGAATTAGCAAAATTCCGGCGCACTTCCTCTAGGGAAGTGTGATCCCAAGATTTTACTAAGTCAGGTGTTGGATCAGACTTCAACCTGACTTTTTCAAAGACCAAATTTGACGAACTATTTGAATTAATAAAAATTTTGGCAGGACTTCGCCTAGAAAAAGTGCATTCCCAAAATTTTTGCTAAGTCAGATTTCCAAACAAAAAGACAACTACTTCTAGGACCAGCTTCTGACACTTAATTTAGCCGTCAGATCTAAGGGTATCCTGTATATAAAGGCTATACTAGTTCTCACTCTAAATAAGGTCAACCTGTCTCATCCCAAGCCCCTTCCCCAATCATCACTACTCTGCCTATCGGTCCAGCACTTGGCGAGCATCTAAGCTACTAACTATCGAAAGATGCCCCAAGTGAGTGCCCCAAACAGCAGACAAGTACAAATAGCATCTCTCATCAACCCACAACTTCTTTCTCAAATATATAGTTCGTTTGTCTTTCAGATTGTTCAACCCTTTTACCACTCCTCACGTAGGGCATAAGGCGAGACCACTCAGCTTAAGAGAAAAGTCCAGTTCGCCTTAATATTAAACAAAGAGATGACGCAATAACTTTTCTCTTCTTTAGGCGTGCGACTAAACCTCTCAGCTTCGAGGCCTGTCTAGTCTGCCTTTGCCTGTTTAATAGCCAAAATTTACTATATCTCTGCAACTTGTCTTACTATGGACATATGACTGAACCTCTCAGCTCGAAGATGATGTTTAGTTTGCCTGGGTGACTCTTAATTTCATATTCTTTTTTTTTTCTGACCATTTCTCGATTTATGCGTGTCATCCTTGTGCAGGGGCCATGCTAATCTTCTCTGTATTGTTCCAATTTTAATGGATTTCCCGAAGGACTTAATTAATTTCATATTCCTAACTTTGCACCGTTTATATTTTCAGATGATATGGCTTATAGCTAGACCCTGTCTAGCTTGCCTGTTATGCGTAAATAATTAGATAGCCCTACTAATTTTATTCTTCGGTTCAGTTTTAGTTCGTGGCTTCTGACTAGACCACTCAGCTTAGAGAAATGTCTAGTTTTCTGTCTGAATCCCCCTCATAACAAAACAAAGAGTTGGACTAATCAGCGTAGAGAAATGTCCAACCTTTTTCAGAAAGTAAGAAAAGTCAAGGAATCTGGTCCACACAGCTTAGAGATGTGCCCAGCCCATTCAGAAACTTCCCAAGCCAGCATGCGGTTGGACCATTGAGCTTAGGGATATTTCCAACCTCTGAAGATGAAGCAGGTAAGTCAAGAAACGAGCAACCAGACCACTCAGCTTAGAGATAATGTCTGGCCTTTCAGAAATTAACTCAGACAAAACATAGCGCTGGACCACTCCGCTTAGAGAAAAGTCCAACCTTTGGTTGACCCGATCAGTATGCAAAACCACGCCCCCTTTTTCCCTCTTTTCACCTCCTTCCCCCACTTCTTTATTTTTGCTTTCACACAAATAATCTGAATTTCAAACAATGCTTCTGTTTACTTAGCTTAGATTAAATCTTGAATTAGTAAATGGTACGTAATTCAGTCATACTTACAGGCAGAATAAAAAGTAGTACAAATCGGGGAATACTGGATCACACGCGTAAGACCTCAGTTACCTGAACGTTCCCTGCCTCCAGAACCCTGCCCGGGATCTGGCAGAGCTCCCGCAATGAGTGGGTGGACCCCCCACAGGGCCTTGATGCGATATTGTGGATTGCAATCCCACGTGCCACCTTCCTCTCCTGAACCTTCAGACTAGACTGGGAGTGAGAAGGGCAGAAAAAGGAGTATGAGGCTCTCAAGATACATGAGGGGGTCGATTCAGGCCGGCGTGGAGAAGGCCTTAATTTCTTCGTTCTCCTGAGGGCCCCGCAATGGCGGCCAATCACAGAACTTAACGTCAACCGATTGTAGGTGTCACAGCAATCTCAACCTCCCAGCAGTAATAGGCTTTCCAGCCCTCAATAGCAGCAGCGATTGGCAGCAGCGATTCAGAGCCAATCGCTGAGCTCGAAGTCTCAAATCACAGACGTAGCAGCAAATTCATAGCAGTAATTGCGATCTCCAACCCAACACTGTAGCTGCAGTTGCTGAAGAAGCGAACAGTAGCTTTGGCTTCAATAGTAGCAACACCTAGTCTCAACACTTAAAAACCCTTCCAGGCTCCCATCACGACGGTAGTCCATTTGCAGGGGGCATGCTCATCTTCTCTGGTTAGCATTCCAACCTTAACGGATGTCCAAGGAGGACAGGCCTCGCATGTGTAGATTCTGCTGCAGTGGTGTTTTTATTTTGCAAATTGCTGGTCTGGGTCTGGGCTCTTGGGTGATTCGTCTGGACTCACACACACACACAGAGGGAGGGGGAGAGAGAGAGAGAGAGAGAGAGAGAGAGAGAGAGAGAGAGAGAGAGAGAGTTAGTTGGATATATGGGGGGAGCCGGATAAGCTGTGGCAAATGTAATTCCTCTTCTTTGGTTGATGATAACACATCTGATTTGATTTCCATACCAGTCTCATTCAAATTCAAAATTTGGGTCTTGGTCTTCGTGCTCATCGTCTTCATCGTCATCGTTGTTGCTGACATTATGAAAGTCAAATCTGGAGTCTCCTTCCTGGTCCCTCAATTGACATCAACGAAATGTCTACCTGCTGTGACGGCGTTGCAGACGAGATGCAGACTGCCTGGATGACTGGAGTATGGTGTACGGCCGTGAGAGGATCGGCGAGCACAGCTGCTGCTCTGGATTTTCCTTCGACTCTTGCGTCTCCCTGTTGAACAACAGGCCACCTTCCTTCAGCCATGTAGCAGCAACAAGCCCTCAGGAGAATGTGTGAGGCCGGGTCTGACAGGAAAGGTCCCCTATAAGAAGAAACCAGCCAAGAAGGATTGCGGCAAGAAAATACCATGCAAACACAGGGCGAGAAGGAAGCGCCTGGATGATCTGGACATCAGAGAGAAAGCTCTGGACAAGGAAGCTCGGGACAATAAAGTGCACACGAGAAAAGAAAGTACCTGACAATATAGCATCTTTCAAAGAGCTCGCAGCGGGCAATAATGCGCCTGACAGGAAAGCATCTGACAAGACAGGGGCCCCTGACAAGGTCCCTCTCTTCTAGAATGAGGAACTGTGCTGTCCTTCCCGGTCTTCAGTGAAACAAGAGGCAAAGGAAATCTTGTTGAGTTTTCTGTGGGTTGGAGACTAACCTCCATTATTCTGTCTATCTGCGGAGGCAAAGGAGAACAAGATAAGCAAAAGTAAGGACAGGACGAGAGGGTTTCAGCTACACACATCTAAGTACAAAGTGTGTCTTGTGAATTGGTAAGGCAATGCATTGTGGGGCAAGCGAGAGGTGACGTGAGGGCAAAAGAGCGAAAGGACAAGGACAAAATTGCAGAAGGGCAAACAGGTAGGGACAGCTTTAGAGGGGAGAATGGGAGAATGTGCGATAGTGTACATGGGCAATGTGTGGCAAATCCATGGCGCGTTGGATGCAGGGATGACTGGAAAGGGAACTAGGAGAGGGTAAACAGAAAGTGGACACCGTGAGTGAACGGGCAACACAAGCGAAGAGTAGTAAGATCGAGGTAAAGAACGGCTGCAGGTGCACTGATACTCGTGGGCAATTAAGCAAGCTAGGGCTTGGGTAAGAAGAGGCACCAGTGAATTCTTGTGGTCTCCTCCCATTCACCACCCACCCACAGTCTTCGCTTTGTGCGGTAATTTTTCTTCTCCCCTAGCTGAACGGCCACAATGGCACAGGTGGGCTGCTGCTTCTCTCTTTCCTGTTCTGATGTGTCCCAAAGAGCTCTAACACATGTCTTATGCTTGGAGCCCCATCAAAAGCAACATCGGCAGAAACAACTGAGGGGAGAAGGGAAACACTACTACCAACAAACAATGGTCGCGGTTGGAGCGGCTTCTTCAAAAGAGATTGGAGTTCTTGCCAGGACTAAGATGCCGCTTGCTGATCCGATCGACAGTCTGGGAAGGTGGAGCAGTAGCAGGTGCTCCTTGCGGGTGCCGCCATCATCAAAAGAGGGCCGTTCGATATCGAATTGTCGATGCGGAGGAGGTGAGCAAGCAATGTGTGTGCAAACCGACTCATTGGCAATAGCTGTGCAAACATTGTCTCTCAAGGGTGGTGGCAGGGGCAGGGGTGTTCTGCCAGATCGGGCACAGGGAGCAGGGATTCCCGCCCGTGCTGGATGTAGGAAGGTTTTGCCTTTTCGGAGAGGTCTGAGTAGTGAAGTTGTGCATTCTTGTCTGGCCAATGTTTGGGAGTATGGTGACCGCAAAGCAGGTCTTCGCTGTGGTGTTGTAGGCACTTGTGGTACCGGCTTGTGTCAACGTAGAGGAAGACGAGGTGTTTGGTTGATGAATGGGATAGGACTGAGGAAGCTTGTGCGGTCTGGTAAAAGACGCAGTCTTGTATGCCGTGCAAGTGACTCAGAGTCTCCTTCTCCTCCCGACGACTCAGCAAGTAACAATGGAAGTCCTGCCAATCCTCCGGCAGCCCCAGGGAATCCTTCGGCTGCTTCTGAGCAGAAGATTAACTTCAAAAGCAGGAGGGAGATGCTTCTAGAATATGTCAAGACCGTCCAGCCAGAGTTCATGGATCGTTTCATAAAGCACGCTCCTGAGCAAGTTGTGGACGCGATGAGGCAGACTGTGACCAATATGCTCGGCACTCTTCCGCCACAGTTCTTCGAAGTGACGGTCTCCACGGTCGGCGAAAACCTCGCCCAGTTAATGTACAGTGTGATGATGACTGGGTATATGTTCCGCAATGCAGAGTATAGAATGGAGCTGCAGCAATCTCTGGCAATGACCGCATTGCCTGATCCAGACAGGGGCTCTCGGTTGAGAGGCTTGCAGTACGAACCAGGGGTGCAGAAATCGAATGTCAAAGGAGAAGTGCTGAGATGGCACAAGACAGATGGACTGGAGAGCATGGACGTTGTAGAATACATTGAGCTGTTAGAGTCAGAGATTGATGAGCTCGCAAAGCAAGTTGAAGAAAGCAAGAAGGCGACAGACGGGAAAAACAGCTTGCTCGAGTACTTGAAATCATTGCAGCCACAGAACTTTAAGGACCTCACTAGCAGCGCGGGGGAAGATGCACTCGAAGCCATGAATGCATTCATCCAGAGACTTCTGGGCGTCTCCGACCCCACAACACTGAAGACAACTGTATCAGAAACCACGGCCAGTGAGCTTGGAAAGCTCTTGTACTGGCTGATGGTGGTCGGGTACAGTATTCGAAACATCGAAGTGCGATTCGACATGGAGAGAGTGCTGGGGATGCCAGTATCACCACTTGCAGAACTTCCGCCTGGAGAGTTTTGAAGTCCATCGTCTAGCGCACACATGTTCCTTCTGTCTCCTGTCTTTTCTCCAAAGCACCTCCCGTTCTTGTTTCTTTGTTATCCTTCTTGCAGTCCACAATTCCTTTTGTCTTTGATCTTCGGCAATCTTCTTCGCAGCTTTTTTGCAAAGCACTGATCCCTTTCGTGGTCCATAAATCCTTAGCCGTTGACCTTCTACAATCTTCTTGGCAACGTATCCGCGACAGCAAGTTGGTACGACTTGCTTGCAGATTGGCAAAGTCTCAAACCGCCTCTACCTCCTTGAAAATCATGGCCAATCCTGGCATACAGGAAGAAAGAACTGTGGCCATTGGATCGTCAATCCAATGGACTAGCTGAAGAAGGGGGGTAGGGTGAGCCTCTTCCTGGGAACAATTGGGGGGGTTCTGAAAGGTACTTCTGGTCGAATCACTCGCAGGGAAGTGGATGGGGATGACTGCCAGACGAGATGTAAATGCTTTCAACTCTGATGTACCTTGTGCTGTCGTGTGTGGCAGAAGAAATAAAATTGCTCTTAGTTTCTGACACCAGTTTTTATGCTTTGCATTTTAACATTTTGCAGGTTAGCATTCAGCTTTTTTGACGTTTTCCCCTTCCCTAGTGTAGTCTTTATATTCTAATCACTTGCAGAGTGACAGTTCCTCTACTAGCCTGTAGAGGGTAGCCGTAGCGTGCACACCCACACTAGATAGAGAACCCTAACTTCGAAGGGCACCTGCACTAGAACTTTACAGGATGTAACTGGCTGCAATCGAAGCCAGGTGAAGGTAAAAGAGTCCTACTGTGTGTAGCCTGAGCAGTGCCGAAGGTCAAATTTCCAGATCTGAGTAGTCTGAGTTTGTGGCTGTCTGTGAGGAGCTGCTACTTGTTTAGAGATCCCCTGATGAGGCAGTGGTTTGCTCAGATGAACAGACAAATAGATCATGTGGTCTATTCTCTCCCTAGCTAGCAATTGTGCTTGAAAAGGGTCTTACAAAGCAAGGAGCGAATTGCATCAGCCTTTGATGGTTTCCATGCCATCTCATGCCACACCGGTGTGCATGGAGAGAATTGACTTTGCTGACAAGCCTGCTTGTCCTTGAAGTGTCCCTGAAGTTGGCTGAAGCCTCTTTTTTCTGTGGAGGATTTCTTCTCATGCTGTGTTCAAAATGAACTGGTGCAGTGCTCTTTTTTTCCTCCTTGTTGGCTGGAACCGCCAGCCACAACGGCATGGGAGATGGAAGCGCAGCCCCCAAAGAAGCGGATGTAACCCCGATTCGTCCAAATGTTTGCCTGGGAGAGGTAGTGGTAGTTTAAGAAGAGTAACGTCGCTGCCCGTTTCAATATTATTGCGTTCGTGATGAAGCCCAATTATGATTTGCATTTGTGAAATGAACCAAGTACTCGTCCAGTTCCACCTCGCAGACATAAATGAACATTCACATGAGAGTCCACACGTGAGAAGCCAAACCGAGATACAATCAACACATGAAGATGTCTTCTCGAAAATTATTATCAATATAGAAGAAGGTTTGTCTCCAGCGGCTCTGCCGCGCACGCACACACAACAGGTCTCAACCAGAGCGGCTATGGCTTCCATCTTCTTTCTCTCTCTCTCTTAGTCTTGCTTCTGTCTCAGACTTGGCTCGCTCTGCCTCACTCTCTCTCTCTACCCTAGATCGTCACCCTGGATACACCCACTCAGGTAAGCTTACGCCTTGGCGGCTATGGCCGCCCTCCTCCTTCGCTACCCCTAACCTAGCTATGGAGTAACTCGCGAGTGCCCGCTTCTTCTTTAGGGGCACAGTGCCCAAGTTGCCTTAAACCACCACTCTACCCGATGCTGGAAATTTGGGGGACCGGTACCACAGGTTCATGAGGCTACCGGTAGCATAGTGTGGAGAACCGACACAGTGGCGACAATGGAAAATGTGATGAATTGCCGCCACAACCTATTTTGTGGTTGAAACATTTTTTTTTAATTTTTTATATATTTTTCCTGCAAAGATAACAACCAAATCTACATGCCCTCCAATTTTCAGTTTTTTTTAGATATTCTTCTGAGCGTGAAGCATACATAGGACCATGCATACTCAAAGTCGTGACAGTTCAAGGGTTCTGCCCCAACAGGTTAAAGGTTCACAGGGTGGAGGGCAACGTCTCAGAATTACTGCAATATAGTCTGTGTGCGCACAGGGTTCAGCGCTCTGCTTTTCACGGGCTTAGGGGTTCAGACTTCAAAAGGAGAAGGTCGGATACAGCCGTCCCTGATATCGACCGATGCTCTAAGAACGAGCAGGGTTAGTAAGGACAGTACAGGTCACTGCAGAAGGGGCGAAGCCTCAATGTGCAGCATAGTCTGTATGTTCACAGGGGTCTGTGCTCTGGGACACAAGGGTTTAGGGGCTGGGATTCCTAAAGGATGTGGACGGATATTGCCACCCTTGTCATCATTCAAGAATCCATTCAACAATCCAGGAACGAGCAGGTATGTGCTGATATGTACAGTCAAAAGTCGCGGCTGTCACAGTCTACTAAATGTGAGGGTTCTGCGCTGAGGCAATCAAGGGCAATCAGGGGTTTAGATTCCAAAGGGAGGAGGATGAATGTGGCCACCCTCGACATCGACCAACATACAATGAATGAAGGGGGGAGTAGGTAGCGTCTCATTGAATATTAGTGGCGGTCTGTCGACAGACTGAAGAGGTGATCCCCCCGCGTGCTTCAATTGGTCCCTGTTTTTCAATGTACCTTTGTATAAAGGGACGCTGGGCCCGTTTCCCAGCAGGTGGAGCTTCCCAGCAATAGGTGGAGCCTCCTCCGAAGAAGCTTGATGCGTTTGCTCCTACCAGCGCCTCAAGCTCATCCCGGGGTTGTTTGACCCAAAAAAAAAAAAAAAAAAAATTCGCTGAAATTGGGGTGCTTTTCCAGTTGGCCCACAAGTTGTAGAGTGGCAGAAATGGAAACTTTGACAAATTGGCACGGCATTTATTTCGTGGACTTTTTTTTTTTTTTTTTTTTTCCTTGTATTTTTCCTGGAAAGATCACGACAAATCCTCAGGATTTCAAATTTTCAGATTTTGTTCTTGATTTTTTTTTAGCGCGAAAAATCGCCAAAGTTGGCCCGTGAAAATTGCAGGACTGGACCCGCCTGCGCCAGCTCATCGGCGCCCGCCTAAAGACGCGCTCCGAACTCACCGGAATGCCACTTTTCGGTGTCGGGTAGAGTGGTGGTTTAACGCACAAGCAGCAGCCGTGCTTCCGCATCGTGCAACTAAACAAGTGACGAGTTGTTGCACTGTAGCAGATGAATATAGGACTTGGCTTGGCTTGGCCTGCTTCAAACGGGTACCTGTCGGCTGTGGCCTGTTGGTTGCAAACATTTTGTCGGTCCGGTACCTGCCGGACTTTCCTGGGACATGCTGCAAAATCGGAGTCGGGACTGTCGGACTGGACTGGGCTCTTCTGGACTTTTCTTGTCGGGTACCGGACGGACTTCTACCGACCTACGACTTTTCGGTACCGACACCTTCCAACCTACGACTCTTCGGAGTACGGACCCTACAGCTTATCCCACTGGGACAGCCTGGGACTGGGACACTTTGGGACTCTGGGACCGGGACTGGGTGTCTGCGGCGTGAATCCTTCCACTCCCGCCGGCCTAATTTCGAGGTCCTCCAAGAAAAATCCCATCTTTATCTATCATACACAGCCATTCCTCTCCGGGCTCTCTCATAGAAGGAGACAATGCGAGGGGGCATCTGTATCAGTTCTTCAATGGGAAACCAGCTGTCTTCACTGGGCTCGTGGTAGGCAAACCTGACCTTATATTGCCGCTGTGGCCTTCCTCTCCGACCTGTGCGGAAAGTATCTTCAGCCACTATTCGGTCTACATCATAACCTCCGTCCATATCTGGTGGAATCATGGAACATCGGGAGGGAAACTGGTCATTCGTAATGCAGGGGACTTAGATGCGAGGAAAACTGGGTACGTGTGCGGGTGGGGCGGAATCTGAGTAGTGTAGGATGGACCATCTGGTTCTCCCTTGACATCTAAGAGTTGTCATGGTCCCCTATATGCAGGTAACAGTTTCTGCAAGATCCCTTCTTTCGGAAAGAACTGTAGGTTCTACCCAGACCAAGTCTTCTACTGTAAACTGCAACAGACGTCTTTGTTTGTTGGCCTGTTCTACCATCTGATGCTGGGCTTTAAGGATGTTCTTCTTGACCTGCTCTAAGTCTTTTTCTTATACTGGATAGCGAATTCGCTCACGCCGGGCGGCAACCTGTGAACCTGATCGGGGTTCAGGCAGTCAATCGAACGCAGAGGCTGCCAACCTTTGTGCAGTTCATTAGGGGTGCGTGCAGTAGACAAGTGCACCAAATTGTTATATGCAGACTGCACTTTGGGAAGATGCTCGTCCCAATCGATCTGGTCGGGCCTAATGTACATGCGCAGCCTTTGGGTGTCTAACGGATGACATGGTCAACTTCAACCGATAGACTTTCATCGACTGTTGCCAGTGCTCGCCCGTGAACCTACTGTCTCTATCGTAGACAATTGTCAGTGGGTGCCCGTAATCTTTCACCCAATGATTGAAAAGCTCTCTAATTACTAACTCGGTCTTTGCCTCAGCGGGCAGCGGAATAAAAACAGGAAATGTACTAAATATATCTACTACTACGGTTACTTGACTCTCAGCGGGGAGCGGAATAAAAACAGCAAATTTACTAAATCTATCTACTACTACCTGTTACGATCCTGGTCATTTCCCAAGTGCAAATTCACAATGAAAGACAATGCCACCCAATTGCGAAAGAAATGAAAGCACTTGCAAAGAGATAAAGACCGGAGGAGAGAGAAAGAAGAAGAAGAAGAAGAAGATGTACACCAGCAAGACCAATGGCAATTCCCCCTTCTCTCTCCACCTTCCTCCTCCTCCTTCACTTCACCAATCTTATTCTTCTCTCAATAATAATAATAACAATGAATGGATGGACCAGAATCAATATCCGAAGTTCCCTCTTACTGCTGACTCAACTCAACAACAACAACAACAACCAGTCCACCATAGCTATGGCTTCCCTCCTTCAACCTCCTTTCTCATGCATAGGCTATGGCGGACTAATGAGGGCCCTGCCCTCCTGTCCAAAGGACAACACAAAGCAGCTATGATGCTGCGCTGATGTCCAAAGGACAACCCAAGCAGCTATGCCACTGCTGACTGGTCTGCTATGCTTGACTCTGCCTCGATCCTGGTCATTCCTTGGTGCAGCACTACCCCAACTGGGGCCTTCTAGATGCAGCGCCCAACAAGGTGATGAAGATGGTGACTACCACAGCCAGGTAAGTGCCCCGCCATTCTCCTACCATGCCTCCTTCTTCCTCCTCCTCAAGCTGGACTGCTCGCCACAGCCAGGCTGAGCTCCAGCGGCCCTTCACCTCCAAGCAGCGCTGCACCAGATCAGCGCTGCGCTCCAGCAGCATGTTGCCAATCCTTGCACACCGCAAATGAGGAAGAACTCTTTGATCTTCCTGGAGATATAGCGGCCTACCGGCCTCATGGGCGGTGACTTCCTAGGCAGAGCGGCCTCCCAGCAACTGGTAGCTCCTCCCTTTCGGAGGGAAACATCATTGCAGGCTCTGCTATCCTCCCTACAGGCCCTAGACCCGGGCTACTTGGACTGGTACCGGCCTACCTCTAACCTACCACTACTGGGCCTTTAAAAATGCCAACTTTTTATCTTCTTCTGCTTGGCCTCCAGTACCTGACACTTCTACCACTAGCCCTGGGTGCGCTGGTCATGGTCTGCACCCTCTACCCCGTCCGCCCATGGAGGGAGAACCTTGACCACCTTACGGGAACCGTAACCCCTACCTCCCGCGTAATAGCTACCTTCGCTATTACTCCCCTGGGTGCCACGCCCTTTGCCTCCACCTCTTCCTCAACCTCGTTTTTCTCCTGGCGGCCCTGCCTCATGGGCTGCAGCAGCCGAATAGTCCCCTCCCCAGGCTACTTGGTTGCTGTTAGGCTCTTCCAGTCCGTAATCTATGTTTTGGTAGGGTAGGACCTCCACTCCCCCCCCCTCGACTGTGACTAGAAGACTGTCCTTCCCCTCTATACTACTTGGTATTGTTCTATTCTTCCAGCGACCTCGTTGTCTGTAGATCTTTCCAATAATGGAAA